GGCTTTGACTTTGCACTTTAATCTCTCTAAAACTAAAAAAGTCTTTGCAACCACTGGTATACCGTTAGAAGGTGAATTTTATTAGCTTTAAAATGAGTACACAAAATTGGATTTACCTGTCATACTTCCCGAGTTATAAATAAAAATGAGAAAATCAGACGGTTTTTGCATGTTCCCACTTTGAGACTCCATAACTCGACAACAAAGGCCCAGAAAGAAAAATGTCACTAGGCGCTTTTTGTTCGTCTGCATGCATTTTATGACTCTGCTTCGGGAATACCATTGAGACCCGTACACCCTGTATGTTTATCAGGTATCCAATCTAGTATAAAATTTTTCGACAGAGAAGAAAAAATATGTGATTCCAATTTTTTCAACAATATCTATTCAGCTTAAATAAAATATGCATAACAATAAATCAATTGTTATTATACGATTAATTGTTCAAGAGGGAATGGAAAGTAAGATGAAAAAAATATAAATAAAAGAAATAAAAAAATAATTAAATTATCAAAACAATTTTTTTTTTAATCTGGTTCTTGTGCTATGATTGTTGTGAATTTCTACTACATCAGGTTTAAATAAATTTCGTATAAAAATTTATGTATTTTTTGCAAAAACGTCAACACTAGATAATATCAAATATCATACGTTATATGTATGCCAGAATGTCATTTTTATATAGAAATTGCATACAATCAATATACATAAATTGTCATTATCGTTCTGCTTGTTCGCAAATAAAAATCAAATACAGTCCACTAAAAATAGCTTATCTCAATTTAGTTTAATCAAATATCAGAATAAGTATATCTATTGCTATTTGCATTTCGTAAAATTCATTTCGCCTATAAAATACCAAACAATTAATTTTATACTAATTCATTAAGTGTCGAAATTAATTGGCACAAAAATTGTGCAAGTAATCGCTATTTATTTCATAAAACTGTGTATTTATAATTTAATTTATAAAATTTGAAACTAAGCTTGTAATCAACAAAGTAGTGAGCATATTTAAACATTACACAAATATTTTTGTATCTTCAAAAAAAAAAATTGTGTTTTCAGTGCTTAAATTACCTGAAAATTTAAAAATCAATATCTAAAAGTTAAAAATCATACATGATCATAAGATTTCATTTCGATTTGTGCATCAAATACAAAATTGAAAAAAATAAAACAAAACCTTGGTAAATTAACTTGCTTCCTAGTACAACAGCACTTGTGTGTATTGACAAAAAAAGAGACTATAGCATTTCTTTAGTCCACATACATATAAATTTCGTACGGGAAGGCTGTGTCGGTGAGTGGTAAAAAAATTTATTTGTTGTTTAAAATTTAATTTAAATTTATATTTGAAATAATTATATTCATTTTTGTGTTATTAAATATAATTAAGATTTATAACTTATATTAATTAAATTTTGTCTTTTGTTCATAATATTTAATATAAAACAAAGGTGAATTTGAATAAAGTTGGGTCAAACTAATGGTTTGTATTGTAGAACGTTCCCCTTCAACAAGTGGAAATACTGCTTTTAAATACAGTTCATGTATACCTACTACACTATGAAAATTATTTTCGGTAAATTTGAACGGCCATTTTGTCTTTTTAAAGTCTAACTATAGAATGCCACGATAGGAGAAGCAAGCCACTGCCTTTCTGCGTTTGAAAAATTGGAAAAATTCTTATAGTTTCACTGCAACAAATAGCTAAAAATGGCATTTTTAGCTATTTGGTTTTGTAAACATGTCGACGGACGGAAACTAATAAGCACCTTTTTTCAAAATTTTTTTGGAAAAGTGCTAAAAAAATAGTATGTACTAAAATATTATGAATTTACTAATACAACATGTAGTTGTTAAATTAATAAGTAATGTGTTTATTACATAGTAATCTTAACTTAATAGAAATTTCCTAATACAATTGCAGAACAGATGGATGACGTAGTCATCGTAGACGAACTGGACTCGAACCAGTGACCTACCGCTTTCTAGGCGGACGCTCTACCAACTGATCTACAGAGGTATGAAGAGGTAAAGTTTATTTTAAAAGAAAAAATTACTTAATAAATTAGTAAGATTCTGTGTACTTTTTAAAGTTGCGAAGTTGAATATAAATGATGTACATATTATTTGCATTTATTTTTCCAAAGAACGAGGTGATCAGGGATAAATGGATACAATACAGTGGTCGAAGTGGTATACTCAAAGTGGTGGGATGGTAAAAAAAAAAATAATAATAAAAAAAAAGTATTACTTTAGTTATTTTTTAAAAAAATAACTAAACAAAATTTACCAAACTTTGGAAGTAAACTAACGAGAATATTTATATTCAAAATTAAATCAACTAAAAATTGAATCAAAAACTGTGCAAATTGTTACCAAAGAAATGCATAGACTGCTATATAGTAACGAAAATTTCATTAATAGAAAAAAATTATACGTTACTATTTGAAATTGGTCTTATTTAAAATTACATACATCTAATTTTTTATTAAAAGAATTTTTAAAATTCATTAGAAAATTTAAAATTTCTTAAATTTTACATTTTTCTCTCCTATTAAGTAGTAGGATGGATTTCCAATTATTTAAAAGTACTGGGATGGCATCCCACTCCATCCCGCCTCACTTCGAGCACTGGATACAAGCATTAGAAAAAAGGTAATTTCGTTTTGTTATTATTTAAACAAATTAAATTAGTTTTTGTATACATTTTGTATTTAATCATCTTTAATTTTTCACAGATCCTAAATCACCATGAACATTTCTAATTTATTCGAAAATACCTAATATAGAATATATTTCTTAATATATTTTATGCCGGAATACACAATTTCTTAGAAAATTGTGTATTCCAGCATAAACTCCATATAGTGTATAAGACGTCCAGAGCTGCCATAAATTGAATTTCAAAATATGGTACAGGAAACCTAAAATAATGGTACCACAGACAAAAAAAAAATAATGTGATAAGCACATAACCGACCGTAATGTGTAATGTCTAGTTAAGTAAAAATGTTACAGAATATTATAAAAATGTGTTAAATATTTTTTTTCCAGTTTTTAGGACATTAATAAGCTTATAGTTAACATATATAGAAAAATGCAAATTTGGCTCTAAGTAGAGTTTCGCTTTGGGAAAAGCTCGCCAGTTAGTTTGGGTAACAACCAGAACTCAAATAACAAATTTCAAGAAATTCCATCAATTCGTTCCGCAGACATAGTAAAAAATGTAAAATCGGCCCGCAGATCAGTTTCCAAGCCCTGATCTTTCCAAAAAATTTATATGTTCATTGTTTTAGTACGAAGAATTAAACTATTAAATTTCAATTAAATCGGTTGATTATTTCTCTTTATATACGCAAAAATGTATATTTGGCCCGTAGTAAACGTCCAGTTGCTGATGCCTGCTTTCTTCCAAAAGTTAGGATGTTTCGCGTACGGTCGAATAAAGTTTTTATATAGCTTAAATTTCAAGTAAATCGGTTTAATATTTTCTTCAAAATGGTCAAAAATGTAAAACAGACCCGGTAAAAAGTGCAGTTCCCGAGGCATGATATATCCCAAAAGTTGATCAATCCGTGCCATTATCGAAATAAACTTACATATAAAATTTTATCAAAATCAGTTCAATCGAACTTGAGATACACGCGCCCACACACAAGCAGACAGACCGGCAGGTTGCTAAAAATAGTTTTTTTACACTTCCTTACCATGGAGAAGCGCGTTCCCACCGAAAAATTGATATGCAAAATTTGAATATTTGAATATTTAAACAAAATACACGTACTTATTCAACTAATAAACATTAGTTGAATAAGTATATTTTAATCTCTTCCACATTGAATCGAAAATACACATGTAACTTCAAAAACTTCTTCAGGGATACCCACGACTGCCAAGTTTCATCAGTATAATTTTATTATTTTCCCAAATAATTAATATTTACTTTTGGAGCTGTATGGTAGCTGTGCGATCCTACAACTCATTCAACCAAAACTTCAAGGAAATAACTGACCACACAATTGTCAAATTTCATGAATCTGACTTTATTATTTTTCAGAATATTTAAAATTAGCTTTTGGAGTTATATGACAGCTACCCAAACCTGTAAAACTATTCCACCAAAATATATCAAGAAGAATCAAGAAGATATATAACTTATAATTAGACAAACGAATGTCGTTGTTTATGTATATAGGTATGTTATGTAGTTTAAAAAAAAAGTGAATTCTAGTTTTTTTTTGGAAATAGAAATGCCCCGATGCAGAAGTAATAGTATACGAAAAAAGGAGAACGTAAATGCTTGCCCTTTCCCAGTATGTCAAAGATTTGACGATCATGTCAATCACGTCAATCGCTTGATTTAGAAAATGACAATCACCTGTAATTTGAGCAATTTTCAAACAAATCACTTATGCATTAGCCTTTAAAAACATGCGAAAAAAAAACTAAAATGACAATCAATTGCGTTAGCAACATATGTTGGACGTCATGTTGCCTTGGGATTCATGACTAACGTCAGTTGCATGCATTTGATATACTGGGAAAGGCCCGCTATACCTACATTTCCAAAGAGGCCATCAGTGACAAGTACACAAGCATTAGGAAAAAGGATTTGGACACCAACAATGTATTTTTAACTTATAAGAGCTTTAAATTTTATTTTGTTGTGTGTGGCAAATAAAATTTAATCAACTACTTACCTACAAATGCTGATTTTAACAATTTAAATAACTATGTAATTTAATCTTGACTAAAAGAAAATTAAAAATTTTTGCGTAATATAATTCAATACATGAGTGCATTTACGTGATAAAATTTATAGGTTTTCTCGTCAAATATTACTAGTTTTAAGATAAATGGATTAAAAATTTTATTTTTTTATGTAAATATGTTATGGAGTTAATTAAAAAATTGAATTCAAAAAGTTTTTTTCAAAAACTATTTTTTCATGTTTTTACTATTTTTGTTTTACCTGAAAAATGTTTTGTTACCTGTAATTTATTATCCTAGTTTGTAACGTAGAGCATAAAATTTCATTTTGTTATTATTAAACCGATATAAAATAATTTCTGTATGTACATATGTTAGGATGTCATAAAAAGTATATTTCAAATAAAGTTCGAACCGTGAATACGTAATATAAGAATATATTTCAAAAAAGTGCAATGATCAATCTTGAATTAAGCATTAAAGATGCCTGTGATTCCAGGTTTAATACATATAAAGATGTCTGTGGAACTACCATTTTATAATGATAAAATATTTTTCACAAAAAAAAAAAAAAAGAAAAAAAATATGTAAAATTGGATGTATGTATATGTATATATATACATACGTTCATGTATGTATATATATATATGTACGTGCATGTATGTATATACATAGGTACATATTTAAGGACATGTGAAAGAATTTATTTTTATTATGTAATACGGGCGGACGGGAATTCAAATTTTTTTTTGTTTTACTATTTATTAGAGAAATCTACGAAAACTCAATAAAATTTAAGCCCAATTTAATTACATATATCAAAACGCAGTTGACACACTTCATTTTAATGCTTTATTTATACATACTTACACCTATGCATGCACACATGAACATTTGCGAAACTATTTCTTTATTTTTATCCACTAACAAGAATACAAATTTGTTTTACTAGAATTCTTTAGATATTTTATTCTTTTTTTAATCAAACAAATTATTTAAAAAATTTTACTTCTTAATATTTACCAATAAAATTTAAATTTTTCAAGTTATCACTACTTTATTTCACCTACATAATGTACATATAGCGCACAATAAAACTTCATGTTTTGGCAAATTATAGAATTAATGGCGTGCGACAATGTGTACAAAACTATTTCTCTAAACATACTTTGGTTATGAAATACTGAAAATTTTAAAAGAACGCTTATTTCACATCATTAAATATTAAAAATATTAAAATTTTTCAAATTATTATGAAAGATGTATATATATTGTTATAATTCATAGAAATATACAGTTTTTTTCCCAATATCTATTTTCTACTATTGTGGAACAGCATACTATTTCGTACATATTATGTACAATGTAATATTAATGTAGAGATAGGGAATATTCGTCAATGTTTAATATATTCGGCATACGTATCAGGGATGCGACAAATTCTATGAGTATGTACTTCTAAAGTTTTTATTGAAATATTTAATAAAATATAACACTAATTATAGCTGTCAGAAAACATGAACACGAAAAATTTCGTTATAAAAAAATTTGTATTAAATGATATGAAATATTTAAAATTATTATTAGTTTACTTTATAATTTAATTTTTTACAATTACATTTTTTGAGCAAAATGTCAAGGATTTTTTTTCGATAAGTTGTAAATGATGATAAAATTCTCAAAATGAAAAAATTTTTCTACATAAAATTTGCTCTTTCATATGAACTTTTCCCGATGAAGCTGAAGAAAAAAATTTTTTTATGCTATCTGACCAGAAAATAGTTGCTATAACTAATTTTGTTTTCAAAAATAAAAACACAATGTGGACGTGAAAAACTTTTACAACTATAATCAATGGGAACATGACCACACAGGATTGTCAAAACATGAGGACTAGTCATTTAAATATAAAATTTGTTTTATAATGCTATCAAAATATTAATTTTTTACATTGCAGCATTTAAACATAAGGCGGTTTAAAACCTGATTGTAAGAAAAATCCAATAATATTTTATTTTATTTATTTAAAAATTTCTCTTAATGACAGATTAGCGATGGTCAATGTCCAATGACTCAATGTATCGAATACACGAATATTAAACATATTTCAGTACCGAATATATCGAATAATATTCGTTCTGTATTCAAAGTTTCTTTGTAATCGATAATGCACATATCGATTACAAAGAAACTTTACAGACATAATGGATACGTAGTAAAAATTTCATTAGGATAAAACAAGGCTGACAGCAATATAAGTCTGGACCCTCAGAGAGAGTGAGTGAGTCATTCTCCAGGTTTGGTGTTATTAAAACATTAAAGAATTGATTTAAAAAAATCTTCCAGGTTCTGTTGATTTTTTTAAAATTTCGATAAATGCTACATTACAAGAAAAAGAAAATAATGCAAATTTTTTTTTGAAGTATTAAGTTGATTTTTGTGTATTTTTTCAAATTTGAGAAAATGTATTTATCATATACATATGTAAACACACACCACAAATATGTGCATACATACATATGTATCATATAAATATTCAAGTCTTCTCTGTAGTTTGTGGGGTAAAGTACTACTTATACTATTAATATGTTATTTTTATAATTTTTTCTTCATTATTTGTAATCATAAAATTATCATAAATTACCATAAAGTTTTAGGTGTATATTAGGATAAAAATCAAATAAAAATTCTAAATATTTGAAATTGGAGCGTTTCTTCTATAAATTCAATACCATGCTGATTTCAAGTACTGTTTGTAGCAAAGTATATCAACTAATAAGTAGTTCGACTCTCCGTTTTCACTAATGTAATCACTCACCAATATTTGCATACAAAAAAGAGTAGCCTCTTTTTTTCATTTTTATACACATAAGAAATTTTGGGAGAGTACGTAACAGATGTCTACATGTTTTTTATAATGTATTTTTAAAAGCGGGAGTTATTTATTTTTTCGTATATAAAGTATAGGAAAAAATATTAAGAATTTTTAAAGCGGGAGTTAAATTTCTGTAACTTATTCCAGTACAAGGTGGCAGAAATGGTGTATTCATATTATAAAAGCGAAGCGATTTAAAAACAAAATTTGACTATTAAAATAAAAAATTATAATTTACATATTATATGTATATAATTTGAAAAAGACAAATAATATTATAAAAAAACTTAAAATTTGTAATTAGTAATTGTCATTACATTTATTGTAATATAAACTATGAATTTTTTATTTTTATTTCAATTTTGTTTAAAAAAATTTCTTATATATGCAAAGAAATAAATTCAAAAACAAAAATTTTACGAGATGCATACTATACTTCCGAATTAAATCGTCACGCCGGTAACTCTAAACAGGAATGGAAGGTAGTCAATGACATTTTAAACAAGCAAGTTCCTAATACAAATATTCATAAAATAATTTGTAACGATGAAACCGTCGTTGACAATAATCACATTGCAAATATGTTTAATGAATTTTTTGTTGAATCAGCAAAAAATATGGTTGAAAATAATTTGAAAAAATGTACTTGCTAACATAATACAGATATATTATTTTTTGACGTTATTCAATCTCATTCCTTTGGTTATTTGGAAATATAACCTTATAAAGTTTATGATTCTATACTGGCTTTGAATAATAAAAACTCATGTACTATTGACGCTATTAATAATAATGTTTTAAAAAAAATAGGCTCTTTTATTTGTGATATTTTTAGTTATATTTTTAACTTTTCTGTATTCAGTGGATAATTTCCACGTCCCTTAAAAAATTTTGAAGTTATGAAGAATGAAGGCATATCCAATTACAGACCGATTTCTATTTTACCTAGTATTGGAGAAGTTATTCAAGAAAAGAATGATTAATTATCTTAACAAAATAAATTTCTTTAATTATGAGCAGTTTGGTTTTCTTGCTGGCAGAAGTACAGAAGATGCTAGTTTAAAATTGAGCTCTGAGTTATATTCGAGTTTAAATATAAGTAATAGCATGGCTGCTCTATTTATACATATTACTAAAGCCTTCGATACCATTGATCATGAAATTTTTATTGTTAAGTTAGAGAGAGCTGGTTTTAGGGATTTCATGCTAGATTTTATTCGTTCTTACCTACAAAATAGAACCCAAAAGGTTAAGTTGAATAATATTTTTAGTGAGGGCAGATCAATAAGTATAGGAGTGCCACAGGGGTTAGTTTTGGGTCCGTTATTGTTTCTAATTTATATAAATTCATTATTTAATCAGTCCTTTAAAGGAAATATCACGGGGTTTGCGGATGATTGTGCATTTGCATATATTGGAAAAAAACCAAACGATCTCAAAGACAGTCTAGAATCAGATATTACTTTAACTAGATTATGGTTATAAATCATAAACTTAAAATTAGCAGTAAAACTGAAGTAATGGTTTTTAACTTAAATAAGGTAAATGCTTTTGATTTAGATTTAATTTTTCATTCATGTGGATGTAAAATAGCTTCTTGTACAAATAGTATAAATTGTTGTAGTAGTAACAAAAATCGAGTTGGTGAAAAATTTTAAATATTTAGGAATAATTATTGACAGCAATTTAAATTAGAAATCTCATGTGTCCAGTTTTCAAAATTACTTATTATATTTTTATTATTTAAGAAATTTTTGTTCGATGGGTCTGCTATTAAAAATTTACTATGCAATAGTTCACTTCAAGTTGCAATATGGTATAGCACAGGGACGGGCGGTTCATATATGCAAAGTATGCATTTGCAGTGGGCGACAGAAAAGCAGGGGCGCCATTAAAAATTTAAAAAAACCATAAATTTAAAAAAAAAATTTAATACAACTTTAATTCAATTTATGGCGAAATTTACTTGATAAAATGTACCTACATACAAACATAATATTTTATTCCTAATAATATAAACGAGAAAAAAAGTGGAGTTGACCTTGTCAACTCTGTAATACCCGTACGAATTTGTTATCCTATGTGCGAATAAAGATGCCATAACTAACTATGGGGCAGACTATGACTTTAAGTTGCCGTATTACCATATTAATTTATGCAAAATTTCAGTACTGTGTTTTTAAAAATACTGTGTATGCCAAACTACTATTGAAGTTGTATGGCAGCTATCGGAAAGAGCCAAGAAATTTTAACGAGTTTTATCAAGCACATCGGCCCTATTAATATATTCGCTTGTGTGCAATATCTATATTACAGCTTTTGTAGTTCCTGAGATATAGCCAAATAACTTTTGAAGTTGTATGGCAGTTATTCAATTCATATAGAAAGCTTAAAAAAATTAGTTAGGAAGCTTTAAAAAAATATATACATACATATTTATGTACTTAACTATTGCAACAATTTTTTTTTTGGAAATTTTCTTTAAATTTTTGTAATAATATTTATCTGTTATATATTAAAAAAAAATAAAACACAAAATTTAAACAAAATAAAAAAAAAATTTTTAAAATAATCCAAAAAAATAAAAACACGACAACATCCAGGCAAGCATTGATCCAGTAACCTTCTGGCTATGAGACTACCACGCTAACCACTAGGCTACGCAGTACCTTGAATTTCCCTTAATAATTCTATATTTTACTCATATTTTGTATAACTCATCAAAAACCATCATATTTTACATTATATGTATATAGCTACTTCTCAGGTGGTAAAAAGTACGTGTACTTCTAGAAGGGCTAGAGACATGGGACAGAAGGCATTAGGTAGAGTTTTGCCTCTAGGGTCCCAGAAAAATCTGACATTGGAACTTTTAAGCCCCGAAATAGCTCTATTTTAAGATTTTCTGAAAAAAATTTTGTATAACAAAAGCACGTTTTTCTTTTATACTTTTTATAATTAGAAACACAAACCAAGAGATAAATGATACGTTTTACGTTTTACGTTATTAACATATTAGAAACACAAACCGGCAAATAAATAATATTTGAAAATATAATGATCTCACATATTTTTGGTTCGCATAATCGAATTAATCTTAACGTAAATAAATGTTAGCTTTTAT